AAAGTTATTGCCAAAATTTAGAGATTATAATTTGATTTAAATTTTGTTAAATACATTATGAAATAATTGTGCCACATTTTGCTAATAATTTATAAAAACAAACAAAAAAGAAGTAAAGTTTTATTCATAATTTTTAATGCATGAAATCTTTTAGAAGATAGGTTATTTTATATAAAATCTTATGCCAAAGAGCATCTGTGACTTCCATGTGACTTCTATGTTTGAATTCAAACTGATCTCAAATACAGAATTCCAAATCAGCATCCTCCTTATAGTTAATTCTTCATCACACAGCCATCTAAACAAGGGCTGTGTATTCATGTTAGGGTCCAGGTGCAGCTGCATGTTACAGTTACGTGTTAGGATCCAGTGTTCAGTTACAACTCGGTCCTGGGCCTCCTCTTTAAAGGTGAGCAGGTGGGAGAAGAGAGTTTCCTAGTAAACACCAGAAAGAATAAGCCTGTTTGAGTAAACTAAAGACAGCTGATGATGAATAATTCATGCAACGATTCTGTTTCCTATGGATCTGTGTGGAAGGTAGTACTATAAGGAAATATGGTGTTTCTAAGTCATTGGGACTCTGCCAGGAATTCAGAAAACAATACATTTTGGATAATGATACTCACATTTTCATCCTGTTACATTTTAAATTTAAGGGAAAGTGAACTTTTGGTTTATCACTTTTTTTATCAAGAATATAGTGATTTCTACAAAGCTCATATTTTACTACCTGATGCTTATCTGAAATTTTAGCTTCATATGAGCCATCCAGTATGTGTAAGTATATTATTATAAGTGGATAGGCCTAGTGTTTTTAGACACATGTGCACACACACACATTTATACAAGTTCTTTTAAAAAGGGATGTAATGAAACCTTGTTTTAATATTTGACATAACAAGAAATATTTTTCATTTTCCTTGAAAGACATTAATGGATTAGATAATAAACGATAGTAGCTTCTTTTCCCCATCCATGCTGTCTGTATTACGTTCTAGATACCCAGGACATCATAAATACTGACTTCTTAATCATCATGACAGCCCAACTTCCTAGCCCTGTTATTTTTCTTATTTTACTTGTGGGGAAAGTTAGTCAATAAGAAGTTAAATGAGTAGCCCAAGGTTAGAGCTGGCGGTGTTCAGGACTGAAATTTGAATCCTGGCAGACTGTGTCCTGAATTTGAAATATCAATCACCCTCCAGAATGCTTCTCAGGTACCATTTGTACTGCTGTTCAGACTCATTCTACTGTAGCTTTGTTTTTCATGATCCAGGTGTTTGTGTCTAACTGGGGAGTGTGACTTTGAGCAAGGGACAAAATATGTGAACAAATAGCTGCCTGTTCTCAAGGCTCAGCAGCTTCATGAAGCAAATGACAGTCGTTTGGGTGATTTCCAGGCTGGACCATGTTGATTCACAGGAAATATGCTTTCCATTGTTGTAGTCTATAATGTTGCTATTTCCAGGCATGCACACACATGCATGTACACACAAAGGTATACAAACACACACATGCGCAGACACACAAAGCACATGTGCGCACACATGCATAACATACACATGCATATGTATACATGCTTACACATGTGCATGAATGCACACGTGTCCTACACATGCAAGCACACACGTTCCAAACTCATGAGCACACACATGCACACACACGACTGCACACACATCCATATCATACACAAAGACATGCCTGTGCCCACACATATGCACATACAGGCACACACGTGTGATCATACATGCACACGAACACACAGACCTGCATACATGCAAGTGCACACATATACACATGCACGTGCAAACAAGTCATACACACATGCACATTAATGTGTCCCTACAGGAACATGAGTACACACATGCCCCCACACTTGCAAGCAGACATGTATATCATGCACATGAAACTGTGCGCACACAAATGCCGATGCATGGATGTGAACACGCATGTCCACACACCCACACAGATGCACACTCACATGCACTTGTGCACACACATGCCCACACAGATGCATACAGGTGCACACTCACATGCACGTGAACACACATGTCCACACAGAGGCACACAGGCGCACACTCACATGCACTTGTGCACACACATGCCCACACAGATGCATACAGGTGCACACTCACATGCACGTGAACACACATGTCCACACAGAGGCACACAGGCGCACACTCACATGCACTTGTGCACACACATGCCCACACCCACACACATGCATCTCCAGGCTTTTTCTTTGGCTGCTAATCTCCTCATTTAACAACCTTCTTCAACCTGAATCTTGGTCTTTCCATAACTTTAAAGTCACTCACCTGTATTGGCAAAGCCCTAATTAGAATCCTGCTCTCCTTGTCTTCTTGAGTTTTATTTTTTTTAATGATGCAAAAACTTGTAGTCTCCTTCACAGTGTATGCATTGTTTTAATATAAAATAGGCCTTACAGTTACCAGTTAGAGGAATTCGCCTTCCCCACTTATTTTTTGAGAATAATTGGTGTTTCAAAGATGTGCCCTATTAATCTGGATGCTCCCTGCACACCCCGTTGGTACACAGAGGACACAGGGATGTCCCAGCCTCATCTCCTCTAGCCCCACTGCAGGGGTGAAAACACCAGAGACTCTGCAGCTTCCTTTTCTAGGTTTTTTCTGTGCCTGTTCCCTCCTGGTTGTGAGTAAAGTTGAGTGGCTAGTAATGTACTAATGTGAAATATGAAATGTGATTCCAGTCAAAAACATCTTCATACCCTGAACACCGTTCACATTAAAGTCAGTGTGCATGCAGTGGGTTTCTGAAAGAAGCAGCGTGGAGAGGACTCCTGTGGGCAGGGCCCCTGCCACTGTGCCTGGGCAGCTTTCTCTTCTCTTGTGCTCACTCAGCACCTCGGGTTAGCATTGACCATGGCCCTGATTCAACACTGATTGTGGACTTGGTCACTTTGTAACTGAGCCTCACCTAGAATGGAAGTCCTAAGGTGCAGAGACTGTGCCTGGAGGAAGCTGTGAGACACTAAAACCCCATCCCAAGGAGAGGGAATCTGTGCAACAAATGGTCAGGATGAAGCAGAGCTCTCTTCCACAGAAGCTGCGGAGGTGGTGGTCAGATGAAGCAGAAGCTGCAGAGGTGGTGGTCAGATGAAGAAGTTGCAGAGGTGGAGACTGAGATGAAGCAGAGGCTTTCTTCTGCAGAAGCTGCGGAGGTGGTGGTCAGATGAAGCAGAAGCTGTGGAGGGGGTGGTCAGAATGAAGAAATTGCAGAGGTGGTGTCAGGATGAAACAGAAGGTGTCTTTAGCAGAAGCTGCAGAGGTGGTGGTCAAGATGAAGAAGTTGCAGACGCTCTCTTCTGCAGAAGCTGTGGAGGGGGTGGTCAGAGTGAAGCAGAGGCTGTCTTTAGCAGAGGTTGCAGAGGTGGCGTCAGGAAGGAGAAGCTGAAGAGGTGGTGGTCAGGCTGCCCCATCCATCACCACACTATGGTTTAATCAGGTGCTGCCTCCCACCCTTCCTGCCCAACTTGGTGCCTCTTGCGTGATTTTCAGTGGGGCCGCAAAGCAGGCATCCCTGTGTCCCTGATCTCACCCTCTGAAATAGTCACTCGCCGCCCCGCCCCGGGGCCGGAATCGTGTTTGCAGCCTCCACCCCACCTGCCCTTCTGCGCTGCACTCAGTGGCTCCCGTTGCCCCAGGATGAACTCTGAGCTCCTAAGTGTGCGCTGACCTGCAGTCCTGATTCGTGTCCCTAGTTGGATTTAAAGTGTCATAGGTACCAGTTTTCTTAGAAATTGGTCCAGAATATATTGAGTAGAGGGAGATTAAAAGATCAAGACATACTTCTCACTTGTGGGCACCCTCCACCGTGGAGCCTGGAGAATCACGGAGGAAGGGGAGGAGGGATGAGGGTGTTCAGAGAGCAGAGGTGAGTGCAGAAGTCACCTGGACGTTGCCACTTGGGAGAAGTCGGGCTCCACACAGCATGGCCTCTGAGGTGTCTGTGTCCCTGTGTCCCTGAGAGTCAGTGTCAGGAGGAGGCCAGATTGTGTCTGGAAGAGCTGTGGGCATACTCCCTTGTTGGAGGGCTTCATGGAGGGGCGGTGGAACCAAGCTGCTCCATTGCTGAGTGGCCAGGTGGCAGGAGCTCTGTGAGCCACACCTCTCTCGGCTCCTTGACACTGGAGAGGTGAAGCTATTGAATCACACTTTATCCTGGGATTCTTGTACAAACCGGATGCACTTTTGGAGAAAAAAGTAAGAAGCCTCACTTATTTCTAACAGTGTTCCCACTTTTACCCAAAAGAAGCAAAGCTTTTTTCTTTTTCTTTTTTTTTTTTAAATAGCACACGTTCATGCAGTTAATTAAGATAAAATAAAAACCTTATTTTATTTTAAAATAAAGGGCAAAACCTCCTCTCTGATTGTTGATGGAAACGGGACGTGCGTATTTCTTCTACTGAGGCAAGTGAGGCTCAAGTCTTCCAGCATGAGGCTTTTTCATTTCACTAATTTCTCCACAGTCCAAGCAGGAGCGTTGTGCTATTTGCTGGGTAGAAGATATTCGGTGCTGCTTTGCTCTCTGATAAATGTCATCCACCCTGTCCCATCCCCTCTCGACCTCCCCGGTCCCTTTGGTCCACTTTGACTGGTCCTGGTTCCCCATTCTGAGGTCCCACAGCACCGTGAGGTCAGCTGTGGCCCTGCCGTCCTTAAATTGCTCCTTCACTTGGCGTATCCTGCCATCATAAACTGCCTCCATGAGGGCACTGCCTTAGCCCTGTGACTCAGGACAGTGCTGAAGAAGTCAGTGTGTTCTCAGCGGGGAAGGCAAGGGTAACATGTCCAGGTGCTGCGTCAGCTCCACAGGGAAGGAAGCACCCACTTCTCAGTTCCTGAACCCAGACCTTAGGTCTTCAAGTCTAATGCTTATTTTATTGGAACACAGTAGAAGTTTTATTATCAATCAGAATTTAACAAGGATTGACATGAACCTATTTGTTTCTTTTACAGAGTTTTCTTCAATAACACTAGAAAAGAGATGTTCTAGGCTACACAATTTGCTGGGGGAGTTTTTCTGTGCAGAAGCATACTATATGTCCATTTTTTTCCCCCAAAAACAATCACCTCAATTTGTGAAGACAGAAAATCCAATCATCAAGTGTTGCCTGAAAAGCAAATACATATCACTCTCATTCTTAGACATAATGTGGCTTCTGCAGACCACACACCACTCCCTTCTAAAGAAAACAGCACGGACTCCCCTCCAGGAAGAGCTTTTCCTGCTGAATTTATATCAGGATCCATCAAAGAAAAGCAACGGAAACGCAGGTGCCTGCAGCCATTAAACAGAAAGACAAGTTTTTTTTTTTTTTTTTTGGCAAATTTAGAAACTGGTGAGGAAACATTTCATGCTAGAGCAACTTCTGTAATTAAGGTATTTTCTTCCTCTAAAATAGAAGGGTTTGTGTGAGTTCAAGGATGTGTCTCTTCTTTTCTAGGAAGTGGAAAAACCAGAACCTCAACTTGAGCTGTAGGACCCTGCTAGGAATAAGAGGGCCTGCAGCTTCCCAGCTCCCCAGCTCCCCCTGTGCTGGGCCAGGCAGAGACACCCTGGGAGGATCCAATCCTCAAACTAAGGCCATTTTGCTTTTTAACTTCGGGGGATATGCACAGGATAATTTTCAGAGAGAAACAGATGCTGGTAAACTGATATCTCAGACCTTCAGTCAGAAATCTAGCATTCTCTGTAGTTGATTTTTGGTAATTCTGCCTACACAAGTTGGTAATTAACCTGTCTTCTGATAGGACCATCTGAGAGCAGTTTCACCTAAAGGAAGCCCACGCTGGTTGGCTTTTTATCCAAGCTGCTCTTTCAACTGGCAAAAATGTTTCTCCTATATCGTGAATCCTCATAATTTTCTTGCAACAATGATTAATATTGAGACAGTCACGTGTTATCACAGTTTCATAGACAAGAAAGAGACAATATGTGGAAGAAAGTACTGTGTCTGGAGACCCAACCTATTTTTATTTTATTTTTCTGAGAAGCAAAGCTCAGAAAAGAGGGGAGAGGGATTTATATTTTATTTATTTATTTTTATTATTTACAGGGAAAAATACATTCCCTACAAATAATAGAGAGAGCGAGAGAAAATCAGAGGATTTCCCATGTGCTGAGTATCCATTTTCCTTTCACACAGTCTTGCATGGGGTGCTGGGGAAGCACTGAGGACAGGCAGCTCATTTGGGGACATGGCTGGGATGACCTCTGTACCCTCATGGCCTGAGCACAGTTGTGGTCCCTGGGTGGGGGAGGGGTGGCTCCCAGACCTTCTCACACACTCTACCAGGGTTGTTTGGGATGGAATGACAAGGGTAACTTTACCCTTTAGAGAAGAGAGAATCTCACCTGGAATCAGGTTTCTGTTTTCATTTTTAACATTTCAAAAAATGCCCCTTGACATGAGTTGAACTAGACTAACAGATAATGCGGATTTACATAAATAGGACTTCCCATGTAGGAATGGACAGATGTTGTGAATGAGGTTGTCATGGTTAGTTAAAAGGGGAAGATTTCAGATAAGACACATTTGGAACCTTCTGGACAGCTCAGGATCCCCTAATAAGGATTGGCATACCAGGGGCAGAGCCTGATGCTCACATCATGTTTAATAGCCTCTGCCTCCTTAAAGACTATCAGAGATTCTGTGAAATGTCCAGGCAAAATTGCTTTCTTAGCAAGTGGAACATTTTTTTTTCTTAAGTAGAGGATTTGTTCTTTTAGTGGAAAAGACAAAATGTAGCAGGTTCTAATTAAAGCACAGATTGTGTTGTTTAAAGAAAATGTCCTTGGCAATACAGAAAAATAGAACATATTAGAAAAACCAGTAAACACTTAGCAATTTCGAGTACATAACTAGGGACTAAATTTTATTGAGTATTCTCAGTGCTTTTCAGATTAAAATCGGAATACTTGCAGCTGTTTTATAAATGAGTAACACATTCGATTATTGTTATATGTTTTTACAAATACTTTTTAGATACGTGTTTTTGAAGTGTTGATCATGTCCTTACCATGTACTGGGTGCTTTGGAAAATGCAGAAGTTCTAGAACACACAACCTCTGTCCTCCAGGTGGTTGTCATCTGCCTGGGCAGGAAAACATCCCTGAAGTGGCAGGAGGTGATAAAAGGCTGAATGCAGTTAGGTCCCGGAAGCACTGTAGGAGCTGAGAGGAGATGGCGCTTTTGGAGCCTGGGATGGTTGTGCCATGACTGAGAAGGAGAGGAGAGGCTAGACTGTGCTGGGTTAAAGCCAGCCAGAGAATGGCACACTGCAGGTGTGGTGGGCAGAGATGGTCCCCAAGGATGTCCGTCTCCCGATCCTGAACTGTGGACACTGGACCTTAGGCAGCAAGAGCTTCTGCAGAGGTGGCTCAGTGAAGGCTCCTGGGGTGGAGACCTGGGATGATCCGGTGGCCCAGTGGGTCACGCGGGCCTTTACCGTAGGGGCAGGTTTTGTCAGCGTCCGAGGAGAGATGAGGAAGGAAGGAGAGGTTCGCGCTAAGTGCCCAGGGGACTCGAGCGCCTCTAGCGGCTGGAGGAAGCAACTGACGATTCTCCCGCGAACTCTCTTAGGCGAGCAGCCCCTCCGACGCGTCGATTCCAGGATTCCGAGTTCCAGAGAGAGGATGTGTCTGCGTCTTTCAGCCACTGCGTGTGTGGTCCTTTGTCACAGCAGCTCTGGGAAACCAAGGGGAGGCTGTGGAGAGAGGCCTGGAGGACAGGAGGGTTGATGGGACCTCCGGAGATGAAGGGAGGCCTCCTAGGCAAGGACAGGGGTACTGAGAAGACTGAGGAGAAGGTTCTGGAGATGTGGAAGGGCGCAGCGTTGCCCGTCACCGGCGCTCTCCGCTCCATTTCCGCCCGGCTCCGGGTCTGCACTCAGGATGACGCCCGACTCGGCCTCTCCAGGCCTCTCGGCCGCCCAGATGCAGCTTCTTCCCGCGCTCAGCCTCGCCCTGCCCTGCCCGCCACAGCCCGCCTTCCCCCTCATCACCTCATGCGGAGCCTCCCGCCCCTTTGGCAGGACACAGGCACATACTGACTTTCAGTTCCTTTAAGAAGTTCGCATCTTGGCCGGGGGCAGTGGCTCCCGCCTGTAATCCCAGCACTTCGGGAGGCCGAGGCGGGCGGATCACGAGGTCAGGAGATCGAGACCACCCTGGCTAACAGGGTGAAGCCCCGTCTCTACTAAAAATACAAAAAAATCAGCCGGGCGCGGTGGCGGCGCCTGTAGTCCCAGCTACTTGGGAGGCTGAGGCAGGAGAATAGCGTGAACCCGGGAGGCGGAGCTTGTAGTGAGCCGAGATCGCACCACTGCACTCCAGCCAGTGCCCAGGGGACTCGAGCGCCTCTAGCGGCTGGAGGAAGCAACTGACGATTCTCCCGCGAACTCTCATAGGCGAGCAGCCCCTCCGACGCGTCTATTTCTTTTTCTCTTTTTCTTTTTTTTTTTATTTTTTTATTTTTAAAGTACCTTGATTTTATTTTATTTTTTTTTATTTTTTATTTATTTTTTATTTTTTATTTTTATTTTATTATACTTTAAGTTCTAGGGGTACATGTGCATAACGTGCAGGTTTGTTACATATGTATACTTGTGCCATGTTGCTGTGCTGCACCCATCAACTCGTCAGCACCCATCAACTCGTCATTTTACATCAGGTATAACTCCCAATGCAATCCTCCTCCCTCCCCCCTCCATGATAGGCCCCGGGTGTTGTGATGTTCCCCTTCCTGAGTCCAAGTGATCTCATTGTTCAGTTCCCATCTATGAGTGAGAACATGCGGTGTTTGGTTTTCTGTTCTTGCGACAGTTTGCTAAGAATGATGGTTTCCAGCTGCATCCATGTCCCTACAAAGGACACAAACTCATCCTTTTTTATGGCTGCATAGTATTCCATGGTGTATATGTGCCACATTTTCTTAACCCAGTCTGTCACTGATGGACATTTGGGTTGATTCCAGGTCTTTGCTATTGTGAATAGTGCCGCAATAACATACGTGTG